CTCATGGTGGGATGGTAGTGTAATTAGATCATGGCAAATGACAGATACTATATAAACAAATACTATTATATTCTTTCAAAGGAAGGGCTGACTTGGCTGGCATATGCTTTCAAGTCTTGGCTTTTCTTTCTCAGTAACTGAAATGGAGACACTTTAGTTAGAACCCTATCACTGAATATGGAGATAACAAGGGCATCCCCACTGAATCTGCTGGTTCCAAGACAGCATAGTCTTTGCCCAGTAGTAATGGCTAGTTAAGTAAGTAAGTAAGTATTAGCCGCTCAGTTGTGCCCGACTCTTTGAGACCCCATGGACTGCAGCCCACCAGGCTCCTCTGTCCAAGAGATTTTCCAGGCAAGGATACTGGAGTGGGCCGCCATTTCCTTCTCCAGGGGATCTTTCCAACCCAGGGGTCGAACCTGGGTTTCCTGCACTGCAGGCAGATTGTTCACTGCCTGAGCTACAAGGGAAGCCCGTCTCACATTTTACTAAAGTATAAAAAACAAACAAAAGTACCTCTGTCCCAAGACACAGTAAGAGACCTATTGTGTGTTTTGGCCCATAGAAATTGTGGCACTGGGCCACAGAAAGAAGTCAAAAGAGTCCAATATCTATCAACTTGAGAATGAACGAAAAATGATGCTATAGTAATAAATTGGAGTATGGAGCAACAGGAAAAATGCATTAACTTCAGCTACCAATCTAAACTTCTATAATTCCACAAATATATCTTTGAGGTTAAAAAAGAATCCAAGTTCAACAACAATGTGTGTGTTAGTCGATCAGTTGTGTCTGACTCTTTGTGACCCCATGAACTGTAGCCTGCCAGGCTCCTTTGTCCATGAAATTCTCCAGGCAAGAATACTGAAGTGGGTTGCCATTTCCTCCTCCAGGGGATCTTCCCAACCCAGGGATCAAACCCTGGTCTTCTGCACTGCAGGCAGATTCTTTACTGTCTGAGCTACCAGAATAAGACCACCAACAGAAAGTGAAACCAAATAGCATTTTCACAAAACACATGCAGGTTTTAAACTTGTAAGGAAAAGCAAAGGGATGATAAACAAAACATAAAATAATGATCCCTAGGGCTGAGGATCTATAGTGTGGAATGGTGACTATAGTTGATGATTTTGCATTGTGTACTTGAATCTGCTCAAAGAGTAGATCTTGTGTTCTCACCAAAAATAAAGGAAAAAAAGAGAAAGAAGCTATGTGAGGTGACCAATGTGTTAATTAATTTGATTGTGGGAATCATGTCACAATGTATGTGATTATCAAACCATCACAGTGTACACTTTAAATATATTACAATTTTATTTTTCAATTATACCTCAATAAAGCTGGAAACAGCAACAACAACAACCCACAATGGTTAACCCTGGGGGGAAGAGATGACTGATGATTTATAGAAGCATACTCAAATGTTCAGAGTTATTGCTAATTTTCTATTTGTTAAGCTGTGTTATATGTGAGTATGCATTCTTTTCCCATTTTTATATTTTACATACAAAAAAAGGGAAAAGACTCTGATGCTGGAAAAGATTGAAGGCAGGAGGAGAAGGGGATGACAGAGGATGAGATGGTTGGATGGCATCACCGACTCAATGGACATGAGTTTGAGCAAACTCCAGGAGATGGTGAAGGACAGGGAAGCCTGGCCCTGCTGCAGTCCATGGGGTCGCAAAGAGTCCAACACGACTCAGCAACTGAACAACAGCAACAGTATCTTACATATTATGAATGAAATATTGAACAGTAAAACTTTTTATTTAAGGTTTAAATAAAAAAAACATTTAAATCTTATTCTGTGGCTTTAAAATGAGCCCTAGAGAGACCTCCTTGGCAGTCCTATGGTTAAGACTCTGCCCTTCTGCAGGGGACGTGGGTTCAATCCTTGATCAGGAACTAAGGTCTTGCATACGCTGAGAGGTGGCCAAGGAAAAAGAAAGAAAATAAGAGAGTCCACAGCACACTGTATGTTATAATCTTGAGTGATGCCTGTGTTAGTTAGATTACGATAAACTCACTGCGCTGCATTATGCTCCCACTTTATAGAATGTAACGGAGCTGAAACACGCACAATGGACTCAGGAAGAAAAGTGAACGTGTCCTCTAAGGAGCTGCTCTGGAGGTCACCTTTTATCAGGTCCTAGGGGAATTTCCATCAGCAGAGTGGAAACTAACTTTGATCACTTGTCTAGATTCTGAAGTTTACTTTTTTTGTTTACTTAATCATGTAGATCAACCTGGGAAAAGTACATTCCCAGATCGTGCCTTTTCCCCCTTGTCAGTAAACCTAATAAGTTTACCAGGAGAATCATTTTGCATCCATCCGGGAAAGCAATTTGCTGCCCCTCTGGGCCGTCAGGATGACCCCAACAAACAAGGTGCTGGAGATAATAGGTGACAAGGGGACCCGCGGGGAGGAGACGCTCTGCCATCTGGTCCCTGATACACAGTCTTTTTGGGTCAGACCCGGCCTATCCAAGGTGCTTCCACCTTCTTGGGGAATCTGACTGCTTTCCTTAAGGATCTGAGACACAGCCTCAAGAAAGAGACCGCGGTTTGCAGACCTTTCCAGTATTCCCACCTCCCATCAGAAGCTTCCTTAGTTTTTGTTTCAGATTAAATTTCCTGTTAATTTTCTGTTTGACAGAAATTATTCTTCACCTTCTTCCTTACATTATTGTCCCTCTTTCCCTTTTCTTCCGTATATGCTTCTGTATTTACTTTTCTTTATTCTTTTGTTTTCTGGTATTTCATCGCTTTCCACTCTTACTTCATTGTCTCAGTTATGCTTCATTTAAAAACTGTATCAGATTTCTTCATTGTATTTTGACTTTGCAGTTTATTATTCACAATGATTTAAAAATTCCATACATTCCATGTATTGGCTATAGCTCACCTTACTTCTGTTTTCATTCTTTTATTCTCTACACTTCATTTGCTTTTCATATACACTTGATATAATTTGATTCAGTGTCACTTTACTTCTTTTTTTGTTTTTTGTAATTAAAAATTTTAATTGAAGTGTAGTTCATTTACCATGCTTCAGCTATATGGAAGAGTGACTCAGCTATACATATGTGTGTATATATATAGATATATATTTATTCTTTATCAAGTTCTTTTCCATTACAATCTATTACAAGATATTGAATGAAGTTCCCTGTACTATGAAGTAGAACCTTGTTGTTTAGCTATTTAATATAGAGTATGCATTTTATTTCTTTTTAAATCACCTGTTAATCTTACTTTTTTACATGGCATCATTCTATTGTCATAGATAATATACTTAATCTCAAATTATCATACCTTGTTTTCAAAATGCTTTGTTCACAGACTATAGCATTGTTTTTTAAGATGTTTTACATGTTGTTATTGTATTCCTAGATTGAACAAATTTTTATATTTCAGTTCAGTTCAGTTCAATTCAGAATGAACAAATTTTTATATTTAAATGGTATCATTTTTTCAAAATGTATTTTAAATTTCTTTTTACATTGGCATATAGAAATCCAAATGATCTTTACCCTCCCTTCCTTTCAGTAACCTTGAAAATCACTCTTTAAAGAGTCTAATAATAGACCAATGATTTTATTGTTTTCCTAAAGTTTATATAATCTGTCAAAGTTTAGATAGTGTCACTTTCTTTCCTATTATTATACATTTTACTTTCTTTAGTATAAAGTCAAGGAAAGAGCCATAAAATCACCATGAAATACAGAAATGGTGATAGCAGATAATTTTACTTATAGCCAGTCTCAGTGGGCTATATTAAAAGTTTTCAATATTAAAAACTTACTATGACACTGTAGACATCGTAGCTATTATCATCAAGGTAAAAATATATCTTTCTCTTTCTATATAATTAAATATCTTTATCATAATTATAGGTTGAATTTTATTACATGATCTGTTGCATATATTAAAGTCATCCTACATGTCTTGTGCCTTTAGTAGTATGGATAATCATGCAGATAAGTTTTCTGATGTTAAAATTAATTTCCATGTTTGAGATAATTATTTGGTCAAATGCTTGATTCTTTTTACACACGGTGGACACAATTTTCCAGTTATTTTGTGTAGATTTGTATGTCCTTTGGTTCTTGAAATAGTTCTGTAATTGTGCTTTTCACATTATGTTTGTTCAATGTTGCTCCCAAGTTTATGCCAACCTCATAATGTGATTAATGGAATGTTCTCCCTTCTGTCCTTAGCAGTGGTTCACTGATATGATTTGTATCTGATGTGTTTGGCGTGCTTCAACACTGAGATGTTTGAGAATTCATCTGGAACAATTTTTGCTACTGTTCAATTTTATAATGAGGAGGATTGCATATTTATGCTTTTCTATTGTTCCAGTATCTTTGTTTGATAAGTTGGGTCTCCTAGAAAGTTGCCCACAAATTTCTTAAATTTCCAAACATATTGGCATAATCACGGTATTGTGTTATTTCCTAATATTGACAACTTCTCCAGCACTCTCTTTAAAAAAATTTAATCTTGACATCATTTATGCTTTCCCAAAGGGAAATGTTACAGTCGCCCATAGGTTTATTGATTTTATGACTCTTCTGAAGGATCTAACTTTTCTATGTTTTTACTTTCTGTATGGAGTTTGTGATGAATTAATTTCTGCTTTTGCTTGTGTTGATTCCGTTTATTTCTTCGTAGGATTAATTTGCTACTTCTTTGCTAGTGTAATTCTTTCTTCCTTCCTCCCCACATTTGAAATAGTCATTTGAATCCTACTCTCTTTATAAACCTAATTCTGTATTCTCAGACTTTTAAGAAACCCTGGAATTTAATCCCTGGAAATGACACATCTTGGCCTGAAATATGGAAGAGTTGAAACTACCAACTCCGTTTCCTTATACTGAACCATCAGATACCATATTCTTCAAGAGGCACTATTATTTGTAATTTCAAAATATAATTTATTTTGCTTTCTTTGAAACCTGGCTAATCGAAGGAAAACATATAAAACTATGAAGATAATGTTTTCAAGTGATGCAATCTTGGGGTTTCTCTTCATATCTCTGATTTGTGTTGGGCTCATGGGGAACTTGGTGCTCTTCATGCTATATATAGACACCTTCTTAACTCAGTCTTGCCTGAAAAAGCCCATTGATGTGATATTCATACACCTGACCTTGGTCAATGTTTTGACTATCTTGTTCAAGTTGATACCAGATGTCATGTCATTCTTCGGAGAAAGATATTTTCTGGATGATGCTGGTTGTAAGGCAACTTTGTACATATATAGAGTTACCCGGGGTCTTTCCATCTGTACTACCGCTTTCCTGAGTATGTTCCAAGCTATCACCATCAATCCTCTTAATTCTAAGTGGGCGTGGCTTAGATCTAAACTCTCTATGTGCATTTACCCCTCTTTCCTTTTCTTCTGGGTCATCAACTTGCTCATCTATATCCACATCATTGAAACTGTAAGAGCAAGGAACAATTTCACATTTGCTGGTCTTGGGTATTATACAGTACACTGTCAAAGCAGCCAGTTGGAACACCACAATTCAATGGCATTTTTGAATATCATGGTGATTCGAGATCTCCTCTTTGTGATCCTCATGATGTGGTCCAGCATTTACATGGTGACCCTCCTCTATAAACCCCACCAGACATCCCAGCATGTTCACAACCTCAGCCTCTCTCCCCAGTCATCTCCTGAAATTAAAGCCACCCACACTATTCTTTTGCTGGTAGGTTGCTTTGTTTTCTTTTATTGCTTAAACAACTTTATTGCCTTCTACTTGCTTTATTTACCCAAGAAAAACCCGGAAATGGAGAGAATTACTGGGATAATTTCCTCCTGCTACCCATCCCTGTGCCCTTTTGTGCTCATGAGAAATAAACTTCCCAAACTGACTTCCTTCCTTTCACGGATGACAATTACCTTTTCTCAGAGAACATTTAGTAGATGATCTGATGCTTATATCTTCTTTCCACAACAGAGCACACTCCAGCATGGACTGTTGAGCACTTAATTTGGGGCTAGTATAATTCCCATTGAGGTGGGAACTTAGAAATATCTTCACATTTGAAATCTTCCAATGGAGAAGAGTACATAAATGTGAAATCAATAATTTTCATATTGATTCCTTAGTTAAATTATGCTAATTATGTATAAATTAAAAGTATTGTAAATATGTCACTGAAACTAACTTTATCTGCTTGGTTTTGCTGTTTTCTGAAATGTGGCTGCTTGGAAATTTAAAATTACATGGTGATTGAGTTAATTTCTATTCAACAGTGTTGCTCTGGGAAAAGTCATTTATGTATTCAATAAACATATAATTGCACGGTTTACTTTTTCCCAGCACTATTTGAGAGGTTGGGCATATGTTGATGAGTAACAGAGACCATATAGAGAATATTTATAGTATAGAAAAAGTATAAAGGTGTATGACAGAGCTTTAAAAAGACAGCAGGTTAGGAGAACTGAGAAGGATAGGAATTTTACTCCCTTGCGTAGTTAAAATGCCAGTGTTTGCTTTTCAACGTCTGCATATATTTATACAGAATAATAAATCCACTTATGTTATTGTGTGTGTTTCATATTTCAATCCAATCTCTTATGAGAATTTTAATGAAATGTGTTCCTTCATTTTCAATAACTTTTCTTTAGGAAACAAGACCCTTTGTGTATTACTACCCTGTATTTGCTTTAAATAGATGTAATTTGGATAACTATTTCCTCAGCATCTGTTTATCACTTTCATATTCTGCAATTTTGAGGTCTTTTATTTAATTCACTGTTCCATTTAAGTACCCAGAGATATTATGTAAGTGAAATGGTAATTTAAAATTTTGCATAATGACTTTTCATCATAGCTGATGGATTCTACATCGTTCAGACATCGGATTCTTCTGCTGAACCCTTTTCATTAAGTTGGTCACTTCTATTCTATTTCCAGCTTCCCATGGTGCAGACAAGATATCAAATACCACGTTGATGGGTGCTTTTCCTCTGAAGAGATTTCGTTTTCTCCATGAGCTTTAAAATTTGTGCTTCATCCTTAGATAAAGTCTCATAGGGTTTAAACTCTCTATGTAGTTTAAAATAGATGTGTTTTTCATTGCTGCTTCTGATAGCCAGGAAGTTAGCTGAGAGCAACCGAGAAGCAGCCTAATAGCCACCTAATCCCACCAAGCAATTTACCAGCCCTGCCCCTAATACTGGAGAAGGAAATGGCAACCCACTCCAGTATTCTTGCCTGGAGAATCCCAGGGACAAAGAAGCCTGGTGGGCTGCCGTCTATGGGGTCGCACAGAGTCGAACACAACTGAAGCGACTTAGCAGCAGCAGCAGCAGCCCCTAATATGTTCCCACCAGTTCTCAAAAAAGTCAGGGGCCAGTTAAAAAAGAAACCCACTTGGCGAATGGTGGACCTTCCCTACTCTAGCACATGCGCACACTTCACACCATCCTGTATTAAAGCAACCTTGGTGGCCATTGGCCTCGCTGACTACTCATAAATATTCCATGAATACTGAATACATACATCTAATTGTAACAGACTGAATTATGGGAAGGACATGCATGGTAGAGCATCTGGGGATATAACCTGCAACTGTCAATCAGTGACACCCCCACCCCTGGATTATGCAAATGATCCTGCTTTAGAACCTCGGTAACCCAGCCCTCCAGAGCCATTTGCCTCCCTTTGCCTGGCTCACCTCTTTCTTGAGGTGTTCTCTCTTTCTTTCTTTGTGTGGGCTCAGTCGCTCAGTCCTGTCCATCTCTTTGCCACCTATTCTTTTTTTTTTCCCCCTCATTTATTTTCATTATTCTTTCTTTCCTTATAGTTAGTAAACTTTCTTGCTAGGAGTAAGACCTTAGATTCTTCCTTGGGTCCTGACCAAGAATCGAGGCCCACAGGAGGGAGGGTCTCTAGACCCTCCTTCCACTAACACTTCTACCCAAGATGTGGTTTGGACATGCGTGTCAGATGAACTTCAAGTTAGGAAGTTGTCTTCCTTTTTTTTTTTTTGTCTTCCATTTTTTAAATGATGGTCTCTTTCCCACCAGCTGTGTTATATCCCTGTGTTGTTACCCTCATTTAGCACAAGTGCTATTCCTCCTTAATAGGTCTCCACACCCTTTCTGTGACTTGTCCCCATTATAGTTCTTACCTCTTTTATCATCACAATGTGATATTTTTTTCTTTGGTCTTGATCTACCAAACTCAACTAAGCATCTGGCATCTTCTTCTTCATGTATCTACTAATTTTCTCCTTAATTTTTGTAGTGAAACTAACATGCCAACGATTATGCCCTGCTATGAATTTTCAAAATAGACACAGCCGATGTAAACAAGTGTCAGATCAAGAAAAAGAGCACTGGTGCTCCCAGAAACCTTGGCATGACCCTTCCCAGTCATTACGCACTAGGGGTAGCTACTAACTATCTGGAGCTAATAACACCATCTACTATAACATTTTTAGGTTAAATTCTCCTCATTTATTCTATAAAGTTTTTTTTTTTTTAAAGCTGTATCTGAGTCTTTTCAAATATCACCTTAGCTGGAATTCCATTCTGTGTTTTGGTTCCATGATGTGCATCAGCAAATCTCACCCCACATGCAACCCCAGAACGTTGGTTCCCATTATATTGTGTCTGGTTCTCCTTACCTGGAAATAACACCTAAGGTCAATAAATTCTAAATTTAACTCTGAAGGTTTCAAAGTATGGTGTACTATCAAAACAAATGGTTTCTTGGACTTCCCTGGTGGTCCAGTGGATAGGAATCTGCCTGCCTGCCAACGCAGGAGACATGGGTTAATCCCTGGTTCCGGAAGAATCCACAGGCCTTGGGACAACTAAGCCTGTGCGCCACAACTATTGAACCTGCGCTCTAGAGCCAGAGAGCTGCGACTACTGAGCCCACGTGTCCTAGAGAGCACTCGTCACAAGAGAAGCAACTGCAATGAGAAGCCCTCACTGCGTAACTAGAGAAAGTCGCCACACAGCAACAAAGACCAGCACAGCCAAAAATAAATAAATATTAGAAAAAGATTGCTGTCTTCCTAAAAAAGCAAACAAAAAATCAAATGGTTTCTTGGCAAAGGGCAGTATTTTTACTTATTAATCCCCAACAACACCATTGAAAAATATTTAACTTGGCTTTCTTTATTTTTGTTGCAAAATATGATAAATCCTCCAAAAGTAGAATTCCAACCATCAGAACTGAAAATTTTACTGAACAGTCTCTTGAAACTGGTTTGCTTTTCAATCCATGACACAAAACTTTCTCAACAGTGGCTAAGTTAAATTGTATGCATCAGGCAACAGACAGGTTTGCCATAAAAGCAGTAAAGTTGTGTACAACTAAAATAATTTTTTGTTTATATTTTCTTGTCTCATTTAAATTATATCTACTAAGTGAGTAAAGTCAAACGAAGACAAATAGCATATCATATCACTTGTATGTGGAATTAAAAAAAAATGATACAAATGAACTCATTTACAGAAGAGAAATAGACTCACAGACATAGAAAGCAAACTTGCAGTTACCAAAGGGGAAAGGTAGCGGGGAGAGATAAATCAGGGTGTTGAGATTAGCATATATACACCACTCTACATAAAATGGTAATCAACAAGGACCTATTGTATAGCACAAGGGACTCTACTATATATATACATATATATAAAACTGAATCACTTTGCAGTAACACCTTAAACACAGCATTGTAAATCAGTTATCTCCAAAACAAAATAAAAATTGAATAAAAAATCATATTATACCTTGCAGCTGGAAGGCACTAATTATGTATGTTTTAAAAATACAGATAACATGGAAAAAAAATGCTTATCTAAAAAAATAAATAAATAAAAATAAAAATACAGATAACATAAACAATACAGAAAACTGGTGGAATATACATTGTTGTCTCAATACACTATCCAAATAAATCTATTTTCTTAAAATGAGACTATTATTCTCAAACAAAACTATTTTAAATCAGCAACACAAAAAAATAGCATTAAATATATCTTTCCATGAGACAAATAACACAAGTAAAGTAAATATTTTGGCATTTAGTGTTTTCATTTGGTGGGGCATAAGATGTTATATAGAGAAAACTTTAAATCTATTGTAAGCAGCCCACTATTATCCAGCATTTATTCACTTCTGATTTCTTATTAGTAGTGGCCTGAAAGTAAATATTTTCATGGATGGACTTTTATATTTTACCTGTTGGTGCAGACTACTATTTTTTTTTTTTTTTGGTGTAGACTACTCTTGACATGACAAATAGACTAGGAGACATTTGTTTCTCCAGAAAATATGGATTAATTTGGGATCATGCAATCATGGCGAGTCATGATAAGTTCTTGAATGGCAGGGAAAGTAGAGTATTTTCTAGAGAGGAAAAAGAAGTTGGTGTGGGGGGGTGGTGGGCTACAGTCAACAAAGACTCTGCTGCTTTCCTTGACTGACTCTTTATCTTTTTTTCCTTATTGGGCTCTGCTATCTTTTTAGGGTGTGAGAGAGCCCCCTTCAGGTCCCCCGACTCTATTTAGTTGAGGTTGCTGTTTATTCTTTGTAACATTTCCCATTTTGATCAAGATCTTTCTTGGATCTTGATGGATGGATGAGAGGTAGAAACTTCTCGCTATAAAGTAAATATTTATCCTAGGGCTGTCACGTACAGCCTGGGAACTCTGATCAGTAAGATTATACTGCATGCTCGAACATTGGTGTGTTGCACTTAGTTGCTCAGTCATGTCCAACTCTTTGCAACACTATGAACTGCAGCCTCCGAGGCTCCTTTGTCTATGAGATTTTCCAGGCAAGAATACTGTAGTGGGTTGCCACGCCCTTCCTTCTCCAGGGGATCTTTGTGACCCAGGGATCAAACCCACGTCTCCTGCATTGCAGGTGGATTCTTCACCCGTTGAGCCATCATGGAAGCCCAC